ATGGATAACAATGGTCTTCTTCATTATCAAGGAAGAAAAGATCATCAAATCAAATTACATGGACAAAGAATTGAGCTTGGTGAAATCGAAAGATGTTTATTGAAAGCACCTATTTCTGCGTGTGTTGTCATGAAATGGAATGATGATCATCTAGTTGCTTATGTTCAAACTTCTAAAATAGATGAAGTGCAACTACGTCAACATTGTCAATCTCATCTTCCACCATATATGATACCATCTATATTTATTATACTTGATAAACTACCTCTGAATCCAAATGGAAAAATAGACAGAAAACAACTTCCTTCACTCAACTTTTCCTTGTTAACTTCGACATCGTCCGATAAATCTGATAGTCCTCTTAATCAGTTCGAAGAACGTATACTCACTATTTGGTGTCAGGTTCTTCATTCTAATGAAAATCACATTTCTAGAACTACCAGTTTTTTCAGTGTTGGTGGTCATTCACTATTATTTATTGAACTTTATCATCAGTATCAATCAGTGTTTAACTTTGATACTCATATACTTTCAATTGCTCCATTTCTTCAACAACCAACGATATTTCAACATTCACAATTACTTCAAACAGTCATAATGAATAATACCAAGGCAACACAGTGGTACACGTTACATATAAGTGAAGGTAAAAGTATTTACTCGAAATTATCAAAATAATATCTATTATTTAATTCACAGGTATTGCCTCTTTTGCTCAAGAGCGTATCTTTCTCGATGAACAAGTTCGCTTTTCGAGTGATATTGCTATTTACAATGAACTGCATACTTTACAAGTTGTTCAAGGATCATTATCATTCAATCGTTTATTACAAGCACTACGATGTATTTTGAATAAACATAAAATATTACGTACATCTCTTATTTTCAACAATGATAATAATAGTTTGAAGCAATGCATTACAGATATACATAAAACATTCACTATAGCTATGAATCAAACATTTGGGAATGAAAATGAACTTCGAGACATTATTTATCAAACAACGATTAATCCTAATCTCTTCGATCTATCAAATGGCCGTGTTTTTCATGCTGAAATTCTGAAACATCAAATAGCATTAAATGAAAATGAAAACAACAACAATGAATGCATATCTAATTCTGATGTTCTTCTCATTGCTTTTCATCATGCCGCATTTGATCGAGCAAGTCGTTCAATCTTTCTCAAGGATCTATGTTCAGCTTATAATACTAATGCAATATCAATAGAAGATGATGAATCATTGCAATATATTGATTATAGTGTACATGAACGTCTAATTGATATGACAACATCTCGTGAATTTTGGAATTTACAATTAGAAGAATACAATTTCGACTCTAGGTTATTATTACCAGTTGATCGACATCGTTTATCTAATGATCATCGATCAGGTTCTGCTTGTATCACTCAAATCTCTTTTGACAACAAGATTTTACAGTCATTTCTTGATTATGCTTCTACACATCATGTGACACCATTTCAATTAGGTCTGAGTATATTATATGCGTTTCTTTTCAAGTTAAATCATGGTGAAAATGATTTATGTATTTCTTGTCTTAATGCTAATCGATATAAAACTGAACTGCAGAATATAATAGGAATGTTTGTTTCAACATTACCATATCG